CGCTCTGCTCCGTGGACTGCCACCATGTGTCCCCCGAGGACAGGACAGCCCAGGGCTGAACAGCAGCCACTGGATTCCCCTCATGCCCAGCCCGAGCGGGGCCGGGGGGCCCGAGCAGGGCCGGGGGAGGAGCCACAAATAAGTGGAGGTGGGGGCAAGGGGCCTCAACAAATGCTATGAATTGTGGGTAAGCCAAGGCCGTCCCTGCAACATGGAGATGGAGAGGGTACGGCCACACCCTGGTCAATGGGCTGCAGGACAAAGCCTCTAGGAAACAAGTGGGCACAACATTCAGCTCCTCCTCTTCCCAGCTCTCTGTGGTGAGTGACTCGAGAATCGCCCTCATGTCTTGGCAGTATGGGGCTTAGGACACACAGGACAGCTCTGCTTCCATCCACCAGAGGGCGGTGGTGACCGTATGGTCACGTAGGGGTTAACATTAGACCTGCAAAGACATGTGAAGCAGGAGCAAAGGGGAAGTCAAGTCGCCAGGGAAGAGCAAACTTTGGCTTTGTTTTGAGTGGGCCCTTGGACAGCAAACGGGCTGCATCCCCATTCCGTCCATGTCCCCCCCTTCCGGCTGGCTCGCTCCTTTGTTCTCCTCCCCCTCCAACCCTCAGTCCCTCAGCTGTAAAATGGGGAGAAAGAACCTTCCTCTAATTGTACTGTGGGCGCCTGCCCCAGGCTCTGCCCTTCCCTGGCTACTGCCCTGGGGGTGGGGCTGTGGAGCCCGAAGCTGAGGCAGATGCAGCCAATTAGGGCCCAGCCCGGGTTGCATAAATAGGGCTCCTGGCGGGAGGAGAGAGACCTGCTCTTGCTCCAGCTGGGGAGCTGGAGGCTTCCTGAGCCAGAGCAGGGCTGGGGACAGGCAGCAGAACAGGGGACACTCTGGCCAGGCAAGCTCCCAGGCTGCAGGGCCGTCCCCTCTTCCCAGTGCTGAGTGGCCACGTCTGACTGCAGAGTGCCCCGAAGGAAGGGTTAGATAGTGCCTGGCCATGGGTCGCTGAGGGGA